TTCACAGGACACTGCACCCTCAGGAGACGCAGATACATAATTAGTATTCAATCTAATCCTCTTTGTAGAGGTTGTCATCTTGATGAGGAGACTTCACGACTTTGATTGTGAGGTCTATTCTGCTCAAAGATTTGAGCATTTAGGGCAACAATGCATTAAGGCCTGAGAACTGCAAGACGTTGCTTTCAGGTGTTTGCTGAACATAATTTCAGCCATAAAGCTTTCTTGTTAATCATGATTTAGGGTTTGGGTACAATAGACTTCTGGTCGATGTGCTCTGCTCTTCGGAGCTGCCCAAACTCTAAGTCTATGCTCTGGGACAAAACACTGGGGGCTTTGTGCTCGGCTGACCACTCAACCGGAACTTGCAACCCAGAGCCCATGTTGAAGAAAACAGTGAGGAATATAGTAGGACTTGGCACTCTATGGGTTGTAGCGCCACTGAATTTAGTCTAATATTTGACTATTTTTGATTTGTTTTATCATGTGTCAATGATAAACGTGAATGAAGAGTAGAATATGTGGACTACGTCACTAAATTAATAGCGTTTCTCAGTTATCCGAAAACCACACGTGTTCATTTTTATTTTAAAACCATCGTTGAACAGCTGACCCAATTTTGGATTTACGACTATCAATGTTCAACTCCGTAGTCTTGTAATTTTGAACAAATCCAGAAGACAGGGAAACTCTTGGATCAGTACCCCAGAGATATGACTTGTTATGGGAACATGGAGGACTTTGTGAGTCGACAGATTTTTACGCGCATCAGTCACCATTTACAAAACGGACAGTCTTCGGCCGGCGGGGATCAAACCCACGACCTCTTGGATATGGGCCCAGTGCCCTACCAACCGGGCTATCCCGGCTTATTCATTTTGCTTATAGTTTGTAACATGTTTCTATAAAACTGAATAATATAAAATCAATAGTAGGTAGGTATTTTATTTTCGTCACACTGGAGTTGCACAATGGGCTACTGACGACGGTCTGGGAAACATCCCTGAGGATGATCCGAAGACATGCCATCACAATTTCGATCCTCTTCAGAGGGAATGACTCTTCCGCTTCGACAGCCCACCGACCTCCGCGTGAAGTCGAGCACTTTACCGTAGAAGAGTTTAATGAGAAACGATACTGAGTACCCTCTGTCCCTTCGTAGGCTGATTGAAGTAGTCACCCACCCGCTTACTGACCGCAGCCAGTGATGCTTGACTTCGGTGTTCTAATGGGAACCGTTTCTTTGCCATCAGTCCACTGCGGGACCAATGGAAATGGGATACATTCAAATGTCGTTGTGTGGGTATCTCGATCTTGATTGGCTGCAGACACGTGGCATTTGTTTACATCAGCAACTGTTCTTTCCAATCTATTTCGAATAAGCCATGCCCACCAAGTATCAACTTTCTTAAGCGACACACTCTATATTCTTTCAAAAAGGTTCTTTCACAAACATTTCAATTCCTTCACTATATATTTCTTACCTAACACAAAGACAGGCATGAAGCCAAGCAGAACATAACCAAACTAATTATGCATCCATGTTGCCAGTTACATAAAACAAAAATACGTCACGGTTACAATAAAATACATAAACAAATAATAAATCTAAGTTAAGCAGAAGACATAAACGAGAAAGAATTATATTTTAACAAATCCGATGTGCGGTGCGATGTTGTCACGTGCCTGTGTATTAGAGATCATCTTCTTCTCGAGTTGCAAGTACCCAATTGAATTTAAAATAAGTTGTATTCTAAAAAGGAATCGATTTCTATGCTCAAACGGTATCACGTAGAACAGCAGCTGTTAGCAAGCTGGTATCCTCTATGAGGTTTAAACTTGAATACCAGCATGCGAGGTATTCCATTTAAGAATCGTGGTGGATCAGAAGATAGAGCATTCGCCATCCAATGTTGTGAACCGGGTTTGAATCCCAGCTATGGCTGGTTGATACTAATTCAGAACCCGGCTCACGCCAACCACAGTGCTGATGTGGTAGACGGATCCTTGGTTAGAGTCCCCTTGCCATGAAACTAATCGTGGTAGGCTTTCATGGTTTTCTTCTCCACGCAACACAAATGCTGGTTAGTTCCATCAAAAAGTCCTTCACGAAGGCAAAATTTCTCCCAATGCTTGATCCAGGAGATTCCTTGTCTACTGGATTGGGCTAAAAATTGCAAGGCAACAGAGTTTTACATTAGTAGTCAGAAACCCAAAATTAAAATGGCTGTTCAACGACCATTATATAAAAGACATTATATGAGATTTCCTAAAAGTGGTTTGAACAAAACAACTGTTTTGAATTAGACACCCAATTCTCCTAATTAAAATGTAACTGAAAATGTTTAGGGACTACTCGACTACAATTTTTGAATGTTTGAGGACTACAATATTCAATTTTCAAAGGTCTTGTTAATTTTAATTATGATGCATAAAATGATGTAAACTACTTAGCAAACCTAATAAAAAGAATCATAAACAGAATGATAAAACTTCTACAAAAAAACGGTAATACAACAGAATTAAAAATTATTTTAAAAAAGTCTTTATAACATATCATTTGCCTCTTTATAATTGAGAATTAGTAGGGGAGAGGGGGGCACATGTGAACAGGGGGCACATGTGAACATGGTATGTTTTACCAATATGATTTGAAATAAAAAAAATCTCGAAAAATTTTCAATTGATGGCAGTACTAGTCCTACCTCTCTGAAAAACTTTCAGAACAATGAGACATTTTGTTGGTCTATTCTGACAATTTCTTTGTATCAGCTGGTGTTGCATATATTATAATCGCTCGCTTCTCCAAGTGAAAGCATAATATAAATCAACTAATAAACTAAAATTAACTATTGCAGATCATTATATGAACATTCAGGTAAGTTTATGACAATTATTCTTTTTTTTTACTCAATTAAAAGTTCTTTATTTTTCAAGTTAGGTTTAAGAAGGATGATGGGGGCACTTGTGAACAAAACATCTGGGGCAGATGTGAACAGTTCACAAGTGCCCCTACATAGTATTAAGATTATTATCCTCATGATATTATAAGTTTAAAAAATATGTATGCATTAAAATAACAGCCAAAAC